AAACATTCTTTGAGGGTATGGAGTGATCACTCTGTTCATAACAGCAAGACATCCCAACCAGCTCCCACTGCAGTGTTGGAGAGACCTTGTGTTCTCACTTGCTACGGCTGAGAAACCATGTGTGTCTGCCAGTCAGACCATACTGGTTTTTGGAGAAATTCCAGTTATACAAACCCATGATTCAATTCCTTGCCACTTTTATTGACAATGGTTTTTATTATTTTGTTTTGTGTTGCTCCGAAAAGGAAATGGTCCCTTAATGAGTCAGCTGGACATTGTCAAGGTAAGAAATGATAGCCCTGGCCAGGTAGCTCCGTTGGTTAGAGAGAGCCATCCAGACACATTGTGGGTTCAATCCCTGTTCAGGGCACATACAAGAATCAACCAATGAATGCATAAATAAGTGGAACAACAAATCAACATTTCTCTCTCTCTCTCTCTGTCTCTCTCTCTGTCTCTCCTTCCTCTCTCTCTAAAAAGCAATTAAACAATAAAAAAGAGAAATGATATAAGTCTGACAGTTTCCATGAGACTTCATTCATTCAGCGAAATTTATTACAGAGTACTAAGCAAAGGACATAGGTCCTTTCCTAAACCCACAAGGTTGGCCATTTCAGAGATCTTTGTTTATTTTATTTCACTTCATTAATTCAACAAGATTTATTGACCTCTTACTATGAAACTGACTTTGTGCTGGGAAAACATACTACACAGATAGATGAGATACAGGCCCATCTCTCGAAAAGTTCCAAGTCTGGTGTAAAACAGATAATTACAATGCAATAGGAAAAGAGCTAAAATAGATGTATTTACAAAGTGGCATGAGAAATCATGGAAAAAAGATGGACTATGCCAGGGAGAGGACATTCAGGGTAAGCTCCACAGAGGAGAGGACAAATAAACTGAGTTTTGGAGGATATAAGGATTTTGCCAGGGAGGAAAATAAGAGAGAACATTCCAAGAAGAAAGCAAAATATGTACAAAGTCCATATCTAGAAGAAGCAAAGCTGGAATGAGATGATAAAATTAAAGCTTAGAGAAAGTAAGTTAACTTACCCAAGGTCACATAGCTGGGAAGTAAAAGGGCTAGAGGGAGTTAACCCAAGCAGAAGTGATTTATGGGAGCGTGCCATATTCCTTGAGTGTTGAGAATCACTGCTCAGGGCGTGGCACGCAAGTGCTAGGAGCTCGGACTACATTCAGTAGACAATGGGGAGTCGTGAGAGGTTTTTACACAGAGAAGCAACATGGTCTCATTTGGGCTTTAGGGAGATAGTTCTAGCAGTGACTTTTAATTCTGACTGCAATTAGAATTACTTGAGAAGCTTTCAAAAATTATAGGCCAGGTTGCTATTCCAGAACACTTAAACCAGACTTTCTGGGAGTGAGACTCAGTTTTCTTTTTCTTTTTCTGTTTTTTAAGTTCCTCAAGGGATTCTAATGTGCACGTGGGGTCATGAAGTACTGCACCAGGAGAATGCACTGAAAGATGGAAAAGAACCAATATTTATTAAGCACCTACTATACTTGCGATTTTGTTGTAAATGCTTTATACAATAACTACATATATATTAGGATTATAGATAGATAGATATCAATGAAGAGATAGACAAATAGTACCCTGAAGCATTTCAACTATTTTGATCCATGTAAAGAGAGGTATTATATTACTATTAGCTGTCAAAGTAGATATTATAATCCTGTAATCCTTATTTTACCAGTGAGGAAGTTGAGGCATAGACCAGTAAAATAACCCACCCAAGATGATCAAATTATTCATGGTAAAAATTGGATTCCACATAAATCTTTCTGATGTTCAAAACTATGTTCTTTCCACTATACACCACTACCTACAAACTTAATCCTCAGAACAATCCTGAAGTAGGTATCATGATCCTCATTTTACAAATGAAAAAATTCATCCTATAGAGTTTAATCTGACCAAGTCACAACTAATAGATGGAAAGGCTGGGATGGATTTAAACTCAGACTTTTTTAACTCCAACTACATGCTTATGAAAGTAAAGTATATAAGCATATATTCAACACTCAATACAATTTTTTTCCTCTGAGAGAAAGGAAGCAAATTGGATTATTAATACAATCCAGAGTATTCTTTTTTTTTTTTTTTTTTTTTTTTGCAGGGGAGAGCGCGAACGCAGTCCCCCACTACCACAAATTATGCAGTCGAGTTTCCCACATTTGGGGAAATCGCAGGGGTCAGCACATCCGGAGTGCAATGGATAAGCCTCGCCCTGGGAAAACCACCTTCGTGATCATGGTATCTCCCCTGCCAGGTAAGTATCAGAGTATTATTCTTGATGAGGAGAGTCATCCCTATTTCTGGGGTCTCAGGAAGCTAAACCTCTGTTCAACTATCAATCCCAGGAGCTTTATTTGGGTGGGGGAGCCGGGCTGGGGCATGAGAAATTCTGCCATAGCCTCTATCATATTTACCTGGAAAAACTTTAATCTTGGCTAAGTCCAGCATTACAACTTCTTCACACCCTTACCCAAGCAGCTGAATCATGCTGGTTAGTTTCTTTTTTAATTTATTGTTGCTATGCATTTTGCCCAGCAATGTCATGCCTTCTCTTAGTAAGTTCATTTTCCCACTCTTAGAGAATATTTTATATTATTTCTTCCCTCCTCAACTCTCTAACACTCCCACCCCCATCCCATTATTCTCTATTATCTGTCGCATAAACAATTTCTATCTTTTCTCTGGAGCATTCCTTATATTTTACAAACACCCCCAGGTGTCCATTTTTAGAAACATCAAAAACAAAAACAAAAAACCTCCTTTGAACCCAAAGGAGTTGTTTTTTCCTCAGACTTTTTATAGGTGTATCTTCCCCTACCTGATCTCTGAATGTTGGAGTACACTAAGGGTCAATCTTGGGCTTCCTTCTCTTCCCTATTTATACAACCTCTCTAAGTGACCACTTAGAGATTCAGATTTTTATATATGGGGTCGTCACCACTTACCCAGGGATTGGGTTCTAAAGTCAGCTCATAAAGAACAAAGAACTCATGAAGTAGGATTGTTCTTGGACATTCCTTAAATCATCTATAAAGTATGATAGTTGAGGTTTCACATGTGTTGATTTTATACATGATTGTGGTCATGTTTATGTGCCAAATTAAAGACCAACACTCCATTTCCTAATAAGTTCAAACAGTCAACTTGTTCCCTTTCATTCTGAGATAAACTTTTTTTTTTTATTAAGCAATAGATAAAGTACTTGGGGGCTTTCACTTAGAAGCCATGTTTCATAAAAAGTACTTATTTTAAAAAAGTAGATACAATTGCAACAGCAAGATGCTCCCACTATAAGAGGGAATCAGGGCTGAATACACCTGAGGGTACAGCCGATTCATGTCCTCCATCTCATGCTCACTCCACACTTGCTTTCTTTGGGTATACTATAGTATGCACTATACTATTTATTTAGTTGAATATGCTTAACTCAGTTTTAGTTAAGTTAAATCCTTGTTTGATATGACTCCATTGTACCATTTATATGTTGATGACTCCTAAATTTATTTCTTCAATGCTGACCTTTTTCCTTGCACTTCGGGCTCAGGGAAACAACTATCTGCTTACTTGGACGTCTCCATTTACAGTGCACTAGGCATCTTAACATAGCCAAACATAGCAATTGATTCCAGACATACCCCCATGCTTCATTTTCCCCAAAAAGCTATTCTTCCCTTAGTTTTCCCTAGCTCAGTAAATGGCATGCCATCTGCCCAGAGTTTCAAGCCGCGGAGTGCTCTTTGATTCCTCCCTTTACCTCATCTCCCCACGAAATGCATGGGATGCATTTAAGTCTACCTCCAAAATATATCCCAAAACTATCCATTTAACTCCACCAGCACAGATACCACCCTAGTCCAAAACCACCATCACTATTTCTATTTTGACCAGCCTCCTCGTTCCCATTCTTACCCTTTCTACGGTCCGTTCTCCAAAGAGCCAGAGCCATCTTTTATAAAACATTCACTCATCCATTCAGCAAATATTTATTGAGAGCACACAGGAAATGGGGATACAGCAATGAAGCATATCAGATCCCTGTGCACATGGTCTTTCATTCTAGAACGGGAGAGGCAATGCACAGGAAAATACTTTTGTACAGTACCCATGCAATAAAAAAAAATTAGAAGGATTGAGGGAGGGAGGGTGGGTGGGGCAGGGGGAAGTGGTGGTGGGAAAATGTAGACAAATGTATTTGAACAATAAAAAAATTTTAATAAAGACGAAAATAAATGCAGTTGCTCTCAATACATTTTGAAAGCTTCTCAGATTGTTTAGATTAAAATCCAAATTCCTTGCTATGACCTTGTTATAAGATTCTATGAGATCTATTTGATCTCTGAGATCTATGGTTTCTATTTGTCCCTCTAACTTTATCTGTAACACACTGACTGCTTCACTGCAACTTGTTTCCAGTCACCCTGCCTTTCCTTCTATATCCCAATGTTCCAAACCTTTTTCCTTTCTGCAGAGATGTGTTTCCTCCATCTCCAATGCTGTTTCCCAGACCTGTGAATGCCTGCCTCCTCTTTGCTCAAATATTACTCCATTATTATGAACCTGGATAATATAACTAAACGTAGGTACCTTTCCCTTTCTCTATCAGTTACACAGTGCACTTTCCACTTTCGGTAATTATCTTCCTTATTTTATTAACAGTATCTTCTGTTCCCACCAAAATGTTAAGTTTCCTGAATTGAGGATCTTGATGTGGTTCACCAAAGTATTCCTGAAAGTCTAAAACAGTGTTCTGCATAAGAGACTCGATAATTTTTTTTAAACGAACCAAATAAATACTACGGACTATACAACAAATAAAGATGCAAAGGGACTACCAGACACAACGAACTAGTCGCTCACAGCCGCCAGGCTCCGCCCCACCCCGCCCCCGAGAGCCACTTCCGCCCACGGCCCAGTTGGAGACCTCGTGGGAGAAGTACTCTGCGCAAGCTCCGTGGGACCGCGGAGCTTTCTGGGTAAAGATGGATACGCACGATCTCTTTCGCCGGCTCGGCGCGGGAGCCAAATTCGATGTGAGACGCTTCTCCGCGGACGCAGCCCGATTCCAGGTACTATGCACTGGCGGACAGAAGCCGGAGTAACTGAGAAGGAGCAGGAGGCGGGGAATGAACTGGTTGCTGGGGAAGCCTGCCCTAGGGGACCCCGTGGCCAGGCTGGGGGACATTTCCCCCTCCTTTGGCGTTTAGTGTACCCGCAAACCTACCTGGTCAATTTCGGCATTCTGAATTAACTCGCTTCCCATCCTTTTGTTGACTTACTAGGGCCTGGTCAGGAGACGCTCCCCCCTGCTCCCACCTTCTTAGTTTATTTAAAGTACAGTTGGAATCCTTCTTTCAAAAGTAACCTTTTTTCCCGAAACTAGTGGAAAAGAGTTTTGAAAACAGAAAAAAACTCAAAATGGAGAGAACAGATTGTTTAGTCTACCCGGGTTTGTCTCAGCATGCATCTAATTTGGCATGGCTCATTTTAATCCCGCAATCCCGTGGCGTATTAATTAACCAATGAAAAGAGAGCTTTTTAAATGAGCGGTTTTACATAGGGAAGTAGTGGGGTGGGAAATTGGGAGTAGTTGGAGCCCATTTATGGAAAATCTTCAATGTCAACCTCGGCATTGGGACTAGGGACGTTGGGTGAGTGTGTGAGACACGTATGTTTCTTTGACTGGCGGTGTAGTGTAATTGTTAAAGAGTTTGAACTCTGGAGCTAAATTATTTGGGTCCAGATCAAGTTGCTTAACCTCCTTCATGCCTCGATTTTCTCATTTGTAATATTGCTGTTTACCTCATAGTGTTGTTGAAGGATGAAATAATATAGACACATGTTTAGAAGTATGCCGATAAACATATGTGTTTGTGGCTATTGATTATTATTACTGTTACAAAGTCAGAAAAGGTATCATCTTGGATTCATTTGCCCAAACACAGTTGTTAGTGCAACACATATTTGGTGAAAGCATAAAAAAGATAGGGAGTCAATGAACCTATTTCTTTACTGCCAGTATTGCTTGGGTGAAAGCAATGCCAGTCCGTAGATTTCACTTTTCATTTTTGGGGTTTTAGATAGGAAAAAGGAAATATGACTTCGATTCTTCGGACGTGCTGCAGAGACTGGACTTTTTTGGAAACAAGAAGTCTGTTACAGGTGAGTGTGGAGAATCAAGAACTCACCAGGAGCTCCAAGATGAAGAAAAGAAAGAAGAGAACCCAACTGAAAGGAAGAGGGAGCAGAACAAGAAAAAGAGGAAGAGAATGACTTTAGGTTAGTACTTAATTTCTGTCTTTTCTCTTTATTTAACTTTTTTCAGTTACAAAAATAACACAAGCTTATGGTTACAAGTCAAACAGTACAGTTATTTGTCAGTTGATAGCATTCAGGTTGCTTCCAGGTATTTATTATAAATATGACCACAATAAAGATACATATATATTTTCTGTCCTGAAGGTAGCCAGCCATGTAATATGAAAAATAAGACATTTATTGAAGAAGATACAAGAAACATTGTACATAAGACAGTGACCTATCAGTACTCTTTAAAGTAGGCGCCCTGGGACCTCACACAGTTCTCCCAGGCGCCATCAGCTGCCTTGTCTTTTTTTCCTGAATCTCATTGAGAGTCTGAAATCTGTTCCCTTTCAAAAGTAATTTTAATTTTTGGAAAAGCCAAAAGTTACAGGATGCCAAATCTGGGCGTAGGGGGCTGAGTCACCTGGGTGATTTGATATTTCGCTAAAAAACTGCATAACATGATGCACGAGTGGCTGCATTGTTGTGATGAAGCTGCCAATCACCAGTTGCCCATAGCTGTGGCCTTCTGAATCATCCAAATAGTTTCTGCAGAGGAATATTAAAGCTTAATGCTGAGTCATTTTGAATGTGATGACCATATAGTACACGTGTTTACTCAATAGCGTCTGCCACCCTGGCTGCCTAGTACAGTGAAGTCGTCATTGTTCAAGCATGTGCCTTCCAGTCTACTCTCCTTGGCTGCCAGGTTACATCGATGTTGTGCAAACCATTCTTGTTAATGTTAACAATGGCTGGACTTTTTCCGGACAGACTGTTTTTTACACACACACACACACACACACACAGACACACACACAATTTTGTACAGGTGCTGTTATTTCTGTCATTAGCATCCCAGAGGTGGAGGCACTGGGTGAAGGGTATGAACACTTATTTCTTTGAGCAGGTACTGCAGAATGACTTCTCACACCATGTCAATGCTGGATACTGTTGGTCTTAAGTTTTTTGCAGTCTAATGAGTGAAACTTTTTTATTTATATTTTCTTGATGACTGATGAGGTTGAGCATCTTTTCATGTGCTTTACTGCATATTTATATTTCAACTTCTGTGAATTTGTTCTTACTGTGCATATTTTTCACAGGGTTTTTTTTTCCTGTACTCTAGGATATTTATCTTTGTCTTTATGTCTATTAATTTTTCTTGCCATTTATCTTTTTTAATAAATATTTATACATGGTTTTAAAATGTTATACTATGGTGAAAACTAAATTTTCTTCCCATTCTTTTAGGTCTAGTCCCCTATTTCTCCAGAGGCAACCATTGTTAATCAGTTTCTTATGTATTTTTGTAGACATAATCCTAGTCTCGTGTATTTATGCCTCCCTTTAAATACATGAATGATAGCATACTCTATATGCTGTTCCGTTCTGAACCTTCCTGCCGCCCCCCACCCCACCATTAAAGAACAGTGTATCTTGGAGATTGTTTGGAATCAGTAGGAAGTTAATTGTTTTAACACAGTGTAGTGTCCCATTTTACATTCCATAATTGATTTAACAAGTTCTTTTGTGATGGACATGTAGTTTGTTTTCTCTCTTCTGCTCTTAACGGTGTTGTAATAAATGTCATTTTACTTCCCTGGAAGTGCAGAAGTTTAATAAAGCTTTCTACCAAGATTAGTTGAAAAAAATAGACCTGCCACAAGCTTAGGAAAAGGATTCAAATGTTAGGTAATCAAAAACACCCAGATATGTACTACAACCATATAGCAACAACTATCTATAGACATCTAGTTTTAATTGGAAAATTAAGTATCTTGTGGATTAGTAGTGATTTGGGTCTGTTAATGCTAGCTGTCTCATAAAAGAGAGCATAATTTTAATTTTTGTAAAAAAGTTATTCTAGCCCTGGCCAGTGTGGCTCAGTTTCTTGGAGCATCGTCTCGTAATGGAAAGTTCTTGGGTTGGATTCCTGGTCAGGGCACGTATCTGGATTGCGGGTCTGATCCCAGGTCTGGGTGCATAGGATCCCTGGTCCAGGTGCATATGAGAAGGTAACCGATCCATGCTTCTTTCTCGCATCGATGTTTCTCTCTCTCCCTTCCTTCCTTTTTAAAAGCAATGAAAAAAAATGTCCTCAGGTGAGAATTAATAAAAAAAAAGTTATTCTATTTTGTGATGTCCACCACCAGTATATGAGTTTCCTATTTTGGAAAATTTGTCTCCTTAAGTTTTTGCACCTTTTTTCTATTAGATTGTTCATTTGTTTCTTCTTAATTTACTATGCTGTGTTTAGCATATTATATTTACAAGTGATGTTTTCTAGTTTGCCATGTGTCACATTTTCTTTATCTCTTTTCCATTTTATGTATTAAATTTATCTTTTCCTTTATGGTAAATTTATTTTTTCAAAATTCACCTGTGTTTTCTTATGTATAGTTTGATTTTGTTGTATTGAAATCTTTGACCCTCTGGGATTTTATGTGTTATAAGTAGTGAACAGGGAACTGACTTAATTTTTTCCAGATGGCTAGCTAGTTCTAATATATTGATAATCCATCTTTTCCCTATTGGATTCAAATGCAACTTTTATTTTAAAATTATTTTCCATATATAATAGTCTCCCTTATTTGTGGTTTTGCTTTCCACTCTTTCAGTTACCTGCTGTCAACTGCGGTCCAAAGATATTATATTAAGTAGAAAATTCCAGATATTTTGAGTGAGGAAGAAACCACATTCATGTAACTTTTATTACAGTATAGTGTTGTGATTGTTCTATTTTATTATTAGCTATTGTTGTTAATCTCTTACTGTCCCTAATTTATAAATTAAATTTTATTATAGGTATGTATGTATAGGAAAAAACAGTATATGTGGTATTTGGTACTATCTATCATTTCAGACATCCACAGGGGGCCTTCAAACATATCCTCTTTGGGTTTGGGGGGACTGTTGTATATTTGAGTCTGTCTCTGGGCTCTCTTCTATTTCATTGATTTATATTTCTGTATCTATACACCAATTCCAGCTTATTTTAGTTACTGTGGCCTTATAACATCTTACAAAATTCAGTGGGGTGGTGTAGCATACTATGTTTATTGATTGGGAAGACCCCTAAAGTGATCTGTAGAATCAGTGCAAACCTAATTAAAATTCCAGTAGTCTTTGTTGGTATAAATTGACAAAGAACTGTTTGTTTGTTTTTTAATTAAACATATACCCACCTATTCAACTCCTAGAATTTACTCAAGAGAAAGGAAAACCTGAGTCCTCACAAAGACGTGTATACAGGTGTTCATATAGGTTTTATTTTCAGTAGCCAAAAATTGGAAACGATGCAAATGTTCAACAGGCGAAAGATAAACAAATTGTGTATTCCTATGGTGGAATTCTACCTCTAAATTAAAAGTTTATTAATACTTTAATTATTTTATATTTATTATATAATTTAATTTAATTATATAAGTTATTTAATTATATAATTTATTATGTAATTAATTAAATTATTAAAAGAATTATTAATGCATGGTCCAACATGGATCTAAAATTAACCAGTTTGAGTGAAAGAAGCCAGACTAAATTTAGTATATACTACATGATTTCATTTTTATAAAATTCCAGACAAAGCAGTCAAATCTACAGTGACAAAAAGCAGATAGGTTGTTGCTTAGCAGTGGAGCAATGCATTACAAGGGGCCACAGGATATTTGGGGGGGGGGGGTGATGGAAATAACCCTTAATGTGGTGATGGTTTAACAGGTGTATACATGTGTCAAAACTCCTCAAATTGTGTACTTTAAATATGTTGTATGTCTTTTGAACTTCAGTCAAGTTGAAAAAAGTTAAAAAGAAATTCCAAAAGCTCATTACTTTTCTTAGAGATTTTTAGGTTATTTTACATACTTACTTTCCCATATAAACTTTAAAGTTAGCTAGTCCAGTTACCAAAACAATTCTGTCATTACTTCTCATTACACTAATGTTATTTATAGATTTAGTGAGAGTTGCTATCTTTATTATATTGACTAGCTATTAATATTGTGTTCATTGTTATTATAAGTGATACCTCTTACGTCATATTTATTTTCTAGCTGATTGCATCATTGAAACCCCTATTTAAGTTTTTTAATTAATCTCTTGTTTTCAAGTATACAGTCATCTACATATTACACAGCTGAAACAACTAACAAAAGGAAGAGAATGAGCTTCAAAGCTCTGATTTTACCAATATAGAACCTGGTCTACTTTTCCAATTTTTATTCTTTCTGTCACTTTCTTTTATCTAGTTGCAATAGCTAGCGCTCTTCTTTTGTTGAATATTAAGGGATGACCTTTTTGCTATACCCTAGAATGTTGCACTTAAAATCTTTTAATTTAAAAAATATATATTTTAGAGATTACTTCAGAAGAAGAAGATTCTACTATACAGTGGATATCATCTGTGGAAGCAAAGATTGAAGATAACAAAATTAAAAGAGAAAATAAACTAACTTCAGGGAAGTTGGAGAATATCAGAAAAGAAAAGGTTAGAGAAATACCTTAGCCCCAATTTCTGACCTACTAAATTTTTCACTGTCCTTGGGTTATTCTGTTGGTAAAAGTGCATATGGTTTTGTTAAGATAGAAGATGAATTAGTTTGTATTTTACTTTAATGAAAACTTAAATTATGCTGTGGTTGAACATTTTTTTAAGTTTAAAGTTTTGAAACTTGAACAAGTCAGTAAATATATAATTCTTGACCTATTTAGGTTTTAAGATTGATAATGTATATAGAATTACATTTTTAAAATTTCTTAATCTCTTTTGATGAATATAAAATTGGCCCCCTCTTCTCCTCTATGTTAAGCTCACTGGTTTAGGAGGATGTCCTTTGACAGGGATTTGAGAGTTAGAATTCTCAAGAAACTGATTTTATTTTATTTTATTTTATTTTATTTTATTTTACTTTGTTTTACTTTATTTTACTTTATTTTACTTTTTATTCATTTTTGTAATCCTCACCTGAGAACATACTTAGAAAGAGGAAGAAAGGGGGAGAAACATTGCTATGAGAGAGAAACATTGATCAGTTGCTTCTCATCTGCGCACCAACCAACTGGGGACTAATCCCACAAACTACGGCATGTGCCCTGGCCTGAAATTGGACCTGCAACCTTTGAGTTTATAGGATGAAGCTCCAACCAACTGAGCCACACCAGCAGGGCAAGAAACCTATTTTATAACTTGGAACTAGGGGGAGTAGAACGCAGAAGAAACAACAAATAAGCTGTTGTCATGTCTCTTGCACACGGAGAATACTGTTCAGCTTACTTCAGTAACCCAGAATGCAGAATTTGGCTGTCTCTTAATCAGAGAATGGGAATTTCACAGACCAAATCAATACCACTTTTGGGACTCAGTTTAATAAGTAGAGTTTAGGGTAAATCTTCAGAAAGCACTGGCACTTGTATGCTAAGTGCCATATAAAGAAAACAGATGGATGCAAAGCCTACTTTCTAAAAGTTTATATAAGATAAGTTATGACAGTAGCACACTAACATGAATAACGCATAACATTGACATTCACGTGACGAAAGCATGGGTGGACAGGTTTCATTCTTATGAAGGCCTTTCGTCTATGAAAGGACATCAAGTGTACCCAATGTTTGTCTCTTTAGGGGCTTGGAATTTAACCAAAAAATGTCATATACTGTTAAAGTTTATCTTAGACTTTTATAACAACTGACAGTATTTTTGACCATATCCATGGTGACCCCTTTATTTTGCTTTTCAGATAAACTTCTTGAGGAATAAACACAAAATTCACATCCAAGGCACTGATCTTCCTGACCCAATTGCTACATTTCAGCAACTTGAACAGGAATACAAAATCAGTTCTCGACTGCTTCAGAACATTCTAGATGCAGGCTTCCAGACACCTACGCCAATCCAAATGCAAGCTATTCCAGTTATGCTGCATGTGAGTAAGAGCTCTAGAATGCCTCTAACCTTCTTCCCTGTGTTTGCTTATCCTTTTCTCTGTGTTTGAACTCTTTCTTTCTACCCTATCTCTTGCCCCTGTTGAAATCCTTACCTTGCTTTTAAAGTCCATCTCCAGTGCCTGTGCCTTTATAAAACCGGCCTTGATCACTACAGCTAGATGTGATCTTTCTCTTCTACCACCCAAGTCTCTATGGTATTTAATGTGTTCTTTTTCTTGCCACATTTATCTTACACTTTGCTCTGTATTTGCACTAATTATCTTTTCCTTTTACAAGAGTGTAAACACTCTGAGGATAGGGACTATGTCATGTTTATTCATCCATGATTCAGTTTATAATTCCCAGGAACTATTTCAGGAATACAGAATTTTTGTACTAACCTGACTTTTTTCCCCAATACTTTTTATTATTGATGTATACTTTATATACAATGAAATACATAGATTTTAAGTGCACAGTTTAATGAGTTTGAATGATGCATACCCTATGTGACCATCACCCCAATGAAGATGTATAACATTTCTGTTATCCCAGAAAATCCTCCTGTGCCCTCTCCATTCTGTCCTCACCCCACCCCTGCCTGGAAGTAACTACTGTTCTGATTTCTATTCCCATTTATTACATCTGCCTCTTCTAGAATGTCAGATAAGTGGAATAGTTCATTATTTATTCTTTCATTGCTGGTTTCTTTCACTGTGTTCAGTGTATCATGATTTGCATATCCACCTATTGGTAGATGTGTGGGTTAACCTAGATTTTTGGAAATAACGTTTTCTAAGGTTTCTTTTTGTGGTGGTGCAAAGTGACTTTTTTCCTTCCACAGTCGGGGTGGCCTTTAGTTCTGGTGGTCATAGGACACCGTGCTGGTCCTTTCCATGCTCTTTGGGGACTGAAGTGAAAGCACATTTGAATGATGCCGTTGACTCAAAGTAAATCTGCTTCCATTCTGTCACCACTTCTTTTTTCCCCCAGCCATTTTGTTACTTATTAAAATCTTCCCCAGGGACTGAGCAGTACACGTATCAGGACAAAAAGTCGCTTTTGTAATTTTGCTTTGATAAAGAGTTTAGTGGCAAAGAACAATTGAAATAATGGAAATAATCGAGGTTGTGAGTTATCTTTGGATTTTAGTTATCCACATTCTTTCCCCAGTTCAAATGGGTGTTGGCAGCAGTGCTCATTCAGAAGCTCCATTGGGGTGGTAGTGTCAGGGGTGGCAAAGGTTAGAGAAGCAAGTATGGGAGAAGGTAGAAGGGTGATGAGAACAGGAATGATTGGATTTATCACGTGTAGTTTTATTTGTTATTTATATGGCCGGTAGCATCATTTGACCAGGCTCTGAAAAATTTATGTACTTCTCCTTGTATTTAATATGCTCTGTTTTTAGGGTCGAGAACTTCTGGCTTCTGCTCCTACTGGCTCTGGAAAGACCTTGGCTTTTAGCATTCCCATTTTAATGCACCTGAAACAACCTGCAAACAAAGGCTTCAGAGCCCTGATTATATCACCAACACGAGAGCTTGCCAGCCAGGTATGACTTGCAGCTTCTAAAGAGGATGTGGCTGGTGTTTGCTTCAGTCATCTTGCTTATTTGGGGGTAAAAAAATGGTCTCGAAAGAGTAAGGCCTGTGTCTTTTGTCACGGTCAAGTATTCTGTGCAGAGCACATTTCTAGTATGTTAATGCATATGGGCAAATCTTTCGAAAGATTTTCTAAAAAAATTAACATTTGTATCTTTTTGGTGAATCCTCTGATAAGAGCCTTGAAGTTAAAGGGCTACTATAATACATAGTTGCTCTTAAATTTATTTTTCTCACCTAGAAAAATGAAAACTCATCTAACTCATCTAAGTTTTTGAGAAAACTGTACAATCATTTACTCCACTGTCCAATGTACTTAATGTAAACTACATGCCAAGTATGAAATAGTTTTATAATATTATAATAGTATTGTATTCTAAAAACAATACATAACAGATTGAAGAGTTTGGTTTTATCTCTCAGAACTGGTTTACTAGATCCAAAGAAACTACTGAATCTTACAAGGCATTGGAGTTCCAAACTGCTGAGATTCCAGGTTAATCTACACATTTTTCAGGTTTAACCTCAGATATTTATGGAGTGGTAAAGGATTTATTTTGTTAATAATGTAAAAGACTATATATCATATCCAACTATTTTAGCAGCTAATGTTTTTTTATCATTTTCTGTTTTAGATTCACCGAGAGTTAGTAAAAATATCTGAGGGAACAGGATTCAGGATACACATGATCCACAAAGCAGCAGTTGCAGCCAAGAAATTTGGACCAAAATCATCTAAGAAATTTGGTAAGGGATTCATGCTTGAGATGTAGAGCATGAAGAGGATTTAGAAATTACAAATATCCCAATTGACACCTAAGTGTTCTTAAAGTGTAGTCATGCATATCCTTAGTTTGATTTTTAGAGAAGCTGAAAGAGATCTCCCCACTCCAAGCCAGCAGCTATATAAATGTATACTGGTGGTTCTCCACCAAAGGCAATTTTGCCCTCTACCCACCTCACCCTCCAGGGACATTTGGTAATATTTGGAGATGGTGCTACTAATCTATAGTGGGCACAAGCCAGGGATGCTCTTTAACATCCAACAGTGTACAGGACAGACCTCTACATTGAAAGAGTTGTCTGGCCCAAAAATGTCAATGTAATGAGATTAAGAAACCTCCTTTATACTAAATGCCATGGAAATAAATACTCTTCAGACCAGAATAGCTTACATCTCTTCCCTATCAGCCAGAGAATCTGCTTTTACCTGTCTTTTATCTTGAGCTTCTGAATAAAATTTCATTTTAAAAAGGATTTTCTTTGGAAAAAAAAGTTTGAAAATCAAACTGCTGGATTATGGTGTCCTTGCCTCTTAGAAGCTGAAAAAAACAGATCAAATGTAATAATAAATAAAGGGTATACTAGTTTGTGCTATGATGATTAAAAAAACAAATTCAGTATGTAGGGTAGCTTACTGACAGGGAAGAACTTTTGTGTTGTTGGTGTAGTGAGTATAATCACTCCCTCTTCTCCCCACTTCAGGTTATTGACTGAAACTCAGGAGGCTTAATTCTCTAGTCCAAGAAATGAAACTTGTCTTTGCAGTTTATACCATTTGTTTTTCCTATAGATATTCTTGTGACTACTCCAAATCGACTAATCTATTTATTGAAGCAAGATCCTCCAGGAATAGACTTAACAAGGTACAGATGATATTTTAATGTCTTTTATGTGTGTTTTTCATTTAGTTGATTATATATTGTCCTCAGTTGCTTATATTGTTGCCCTTTGGAGCTTGCTGCCTGCCAGCTTTTAGTAAGTGTTGGTGCTGAGAATGACCGTTTTAATTAAACTCATAGAAAAATAACTCTCTGGTCTGGAAGAAAATTACAGATTCTGATAAGCATTTAGCACAGAATCCCCTTGGACTTTTTCATGTCTTTCAGCAATGGTGGTGGAGCTTATAAGGTTTATGTGAAGCTTTGGTGTTGTTAATGGAACCTTATATCTTTAAGGCTCATGGAATAGGTATATTAACTTATCTTATTTTTACTTTTTTCCTCCTTATTTTTCTTGTACCTTTTTGTCATATGGTATGTTGGTATGAGAAGCAGCATTATGGTTTGACTTCTTCATGTGTCTTCATATTTTAGTGAAATGTCTGTTTTCCCGTTTAATACCCACAAGTTGTTTTGTTATTGCTTAGTGTTGAATGGCTGATAGTAGATGAATCAGATAAACTGTTTGAAGATGGCAAAACTGGGTTCAGAGACCAGCTGGCTTCTATTTTCCTGGCCTGCACATCCCACAAGGTCAGAAGAGCTATGTTCAGTGCAACTTTTGCATATGATGTTGAGCAGTGGTGCAAACTCAACCTGGACAATGTCATTACTGTGTCCATTGGAGCAAGGTAATTGTTCTGCATTATCCCACTGTTTCTTAGACTCAAGTCATTTTTTTAGACTCAAGAAGATAGGTTGTTTGGCCTAAGATTCATAATAGACAATTTTACTGAAAGAAATGTATTCTTTAAAGTCAAAATTAAGGGTTTTCTATTTTAGAATAATCCAGGGGGACGTTGTCATGTTACTATTCCCATCATCATGCTTTTAGTTGATTTTCCCATCCACAGAGTATAGCATGAGTTCTGTTGCCACCCAGAAGATTTAATTTCTTTGCTGACTTAACTAAGTAGGACCAGAGAGAAGGAAGCTGATGTTAGTGGGCAGCTTGATTTATAATTCCTTTTAAAAATATTTTGGGGAGCATTTTATGCTAAATGAATGTTCAATGGTAGAAAAAAGTTTTTGGAAGTTTGGTTATTGCCACTTTATAGAATATTATACAACCCATGGAATGATAAGTATGAAGACTGTAGCTATTTGAAAAAGTACTTATAATACCATATTAAGTAAAAACGAAGCCAAATGGAAGAATAAAAAATACCCTGTCTACTTTAAACATAATTCTTTTGTAGAAAAAGGAAATAGAACCAACTCACCATAACTAATTATGAGAGCAGACAACAAAAATGGAAAAATATATATGACATAGTATAATGTATTGCGGCAGCTTATGGAGCATTAATAAAGACTCAGTCCCAATGTCTGTCTGTAAATAAACCCTGCTAATCAGTAAGAAAAAAATTAATAAAAAAGAAAAAATCTAGCTACCTGTGATAACAACCTTGAAAACGTTCTAATTATTTTAACAAATAATTTTACTTTTGGAAAGATTTTTTAAGTAAATTAGACGTGAAAGTTTATGACTAGAGCACAAAAAAATGTCAAAGTATATTATAAAATGGGAGAATTTTGGCAATTTATTTTATTGTTTACCTTTTCTATATTTTTCAAACTTTAAAAAAAAAGTTTTTTTAAATCTTCTCCTGAGGATATGTTTATTGATTTTAGAGAAAGAGGAAGGGAAGGGGGTGGGGAGGAGAGAGAGAGAGAGACAAAGAAACATCATTGTGAGAAAGGAAACATCAATTGGTTGCCTCCGGTACACACCCAGATCAGGGATAGAATCCACAGCCTTTTGGTATACAAGATGACACTCCAACCAAGTGAGCCACTTTGCCAGGGCTATGTTTTTCAAATTTTCTTGATAATATTTTTATAACTACAATAAAACTTTTAAAAAATAACTTTAGGTTAAGTATATATAATTAAGTACTCATATTGACAATGGAAAAGTTCGTTCTTTTGGAGTCTTGTGTCAATTTTTTTCATTTATTTAGAATTTTGGAGGGGGGCGGGGAAGCAAAAATTGGCTCTTGCAAACTATAAGATATCTTTTCTTCTCAGGAATTCTGCAGTAGAGACTGTAGAACAAGAGCTTCTGTTTGTTGGGTCTGAGACTGGAAAACTTCTAGCCATGAGAGAACTTATTAAAAAGGTATGTTTGGAAAACAGTCTTGAATATTGATAAAGTTCACTAAGGCTTAATGTTTTGGTGAGAGGCTGAGCTCTATTCCTGCATCATGTTTAAGAATCCAGTGGTACATAGTTAAGGACAGTGGGCCAGCTCTTGTCCCAAGGTGGCGAGGCTCAACTATTAGGATATAGTAAGCTTTCTATCCACAGCTCAGGGTAGGCTAGGAGAAGACCTGCCCGATGCCCTGAAAGCCTTTTTCCACATCTACATGTATATGTGCTCCCTGCGTCCCCCCATCCTTCTGCTGGTTCCTTACTGAACTGGGGCATTGTAGAATGAGTAGGACAATGACTAGGTTTTTCTGTTTGTACCCCTTGAGTAAATACTGAGTAGAAGCCATAGTTAAAAGGTTAAGTACTGAAGAGGTGGGGGGAGGGGGAGAGTAATAAAAGAAATATAAATCCTAAGCGCTGCCCCTAGAACTTAGTCTTTTTTAGGGGCTAAAATAAATACACTTGTGTAAGATAGTTTGTGGTAAAGTGCCATAAAAGGCTTTAGAGTGTTTTTCTTAAACATTCATATAGTCATAAGGGGCCATCAGGGTAAGTTGAATTGGTTGGAGAAAGTCTTGTAGAGGAAACGCTACTAATCTGGGCCATGAAGGATTTGGGGGATTAAAAAGTGAGTGGGGGGCAGTGTTGGTGGCAGGATGCGCAGCTGTAGTAAAGTCTCAGAGGTGGAGGCGAACACAGTGAATGTGTTTGGAGACTGCGGAGAGAGTTTATGGTAGGAATTAAAGACAGTCAGTTTGGACAGGATAGTTGGGGTCAAGTTAAAAGAAACCACGGAACATTGTTGAAGAATGTGACCGCATAATTTTTAAGGAAAATTAAACAATGGTATATAGGATGGATTGTATTGGAAAGAGACTGAAAGTAAAGAAACCAAATTAATAGGCTATTAGATTAGGCTGGTCAGACATAAGGAGGAGATAAATGAAGGTAACAGCCTTAGTGGTGGAGTGTTACCAGTAGTTGGAGGATGAAAAGAAAAGGTGTTTGCAAGTACCTGGTGATGGCAGAAGTGGTTAAGAGCATGCTCTGGGGCCAGACTACCTGGATTGGAATCCTGGCTCTAGTCAAATTAACCTCTCTTCCACAGTTTCCTCATCTGTAAAATGGGGATAATAATATCTACCTCTTAGAGTTGTTTTAGCATTAGTGAGTTAAAACAAATGTAGTACTTATAATAGTGGTTGGCACATAATAAATACTATGTGTTTTAAAAATATTCTTAAGGATATCATTTGACAATAGGAAATTAAAGTTTTTCACAGATACATAGGGTTGTACACCAGGTATTTTTTTGTCATGTGTGAACTTCAGGAGGTTTGTGAACCCTCTAAAATTATGTTAGGTTTTTTTGTAAACGTGTGGCTGCTTATTAGAAAGCTTCATAGCTTTCATTAGATTTTGAAAAGGGTGTGTGACCCAAAATAAAGAGGTTAAGCCATAACATGGACAGTTGAAAATATACAGAGCTGGTTTAGAAAGAGGCCTGGTATGATATGAATGTAAAAATCATTTGCTTAGAGGTGGTAGTTTATAACTGAGATTTTAACTTAATAAGATAAATATTACATTGAGAGAACAGAGAACCAAGAACTAAGCTTTGGGGGAATACCTACAGTTAGGGTAGACAGTGAATTAAATACACAGTCATTACATTTTAAACAGACTTCAGGGAGTGTGTATCCATCACTGTAGAAGGGTGAAGGGGGTAAATTAGACAAGACAAATTCACACATGGAGAATTTACAAGATGGAGAGTACAGTTCAAGTTGGTTGGAAAGAACCCATTGTAGAGAAGAGATGATATGGAAGACAGGCAGTTTAGACTGCTGGTCCTAGAAATGTTAGCAATGGAAGTACACTAAATTCAATTGAGTTCTTCTATGAATTAAAATCATATGAAATACTGAGTTTATATTCTTAATTATGGGTTATGTGTGTTGATTTTTGCCTTTCTTTTAGGGTTTCAGTCCACCAGTTCTTGTTTTTGTTCAGTCTATTGAAAGGGCTAAAGAACTTTTTCATGAGCTCATATATGAAGGTATTAATGTGGATGTTATTCATGCTGACAGAACGCAGGAACAGGTAAAATCAAATGTATACTTTCAAAATGATAAAGTTTTAAAATATTGGCATAAACTAATAAAGTTCTTCTTTTCCATTCCTAGAGTAGTACTAAAAACATTTAATACATATTTTATTAACAGAGAGATAACACAGTCCACAGCTTCAGAGCAGGAAAAATCTGGGTCCTTATTTGTACAGCCTTGCTAGCCAGAGGAATTGATTTCAAAGGTGTGAACTTGGTGATCAACTATGACTTCCCGACGAGCTCGGTGGAGTACATCCACAGGATAGGTGAGCTGTCCTCTGACCCCGTGCTCCTCCGTTCTAGCCCCTCTGCTGTTCCCTGCAGCCGTGCTCATTTTTAGTGCTGTGAAAAACCCACTGACTTTTATATGTGGATCTTAAAGGTCCCTTTCCTCCAAAAAAGATTTTTAATGGTCTGGTTTCTCTTAGGTCGAACTGGAAGAGCAGGGCATAAAGGAAAAGCTGTTACATTTTTCACTGAAGATGATAAACCATTATTAAGAAGGTAAATTAGGGAAAGTAACTTAGTGTTAAGCTTGCAATGTTGATTCATTAGTCTTACACATATACACAATTAACAGATAAACTACAAAAGAGCTTTTTCCAAAATTCTGTTACAGTAATAGTCAATGAAATTTTAGCAATGAGAAAAGGAAGAATGATCAAAAGGCCTTGTTTTTGCCCTTCCATTATTATTTTTAATAATAACAAATATCGTCAGATTTTAATAACTCATGGAATTCTCCCAATAGCCACCAGTTGATATTACTCACAATGTAATATTAAGGTTTTTGAATGAGTGAATAGTTTAAAATTAACCCTCGAGTCTCTATAGCCCCATCAAAAGTATCTCTTATTGTAGTGCATCCTTCTCACTACTCTTAGGGGAAGATGGAGTTCTATATTTAGTCCCAGGAAAAATTATTTCAGTGACACACTCTAATATTATTCAGTTGTAGTCCCTTGAGGCCTGGGTAACATAGGATATACTTTTAGAATCATGGGTCTTAACTTAGCCATCAGCATAGATACTACTATAGAAGCTGAGTTTCCTACATTTTGGCTGCCTACAGAAAATTTAGGCCGACAGTTGGTAACATGTCACATTTCTAACAATTGTAATTGATTTATGGCCAAAGGCACCTTGTAATTTGAATTTATCCATTTTGGTGAAGATTTTGATTTGTACTTCAGAACTTTTGGCTCCGTCAGCCTTGGTTTTGCTTTGAGCAGACTTTCACATGTGCATGTGTAGGAGAATATGTATTCTAACAGCCTAGATTCACCTGAAGTTTCCTCAGTAAGTCCAAACGTGTGAATCTCATAACCCCCCCCCCCCGTATCAGTGTAACTATGCACCTCAGTTTTCCCTCTGAGGAATGGGGGTAATGATAGTACTTACTACAAAGGGTTGTTGTGAAGATTGAGTAAGTTACTCTACAGGAAAAACTTAAGACAATGCCAAACCCATAGTGAGCACTATCATTTAATAGATGTAAGCTTGCCTCTGGCTTCAGTCAATGTTTAATCCAAGCTTGACCTTAGTAGCTTTTTAGGCTTGATGAAATAAATGTTGAGCAGAAATAGCTGCTATCTAAAATTATTCATCAACATTGATTTTAGTCCAGCAGACATTGAGTAATCCAGTGTGATTATAGCTGGTGATAATTGATATTATATCAAAACACTTTACTGGATTACTTTCTTGTTTGTATAGCTTTAGTTCCTCTTGTACAGAGGGTTTAAGTTCACAAACATTAGCACAATAAGATACACATTTATCTTATTCATATGGGAACCTCTTTCAGCGTTGCCAATGTCATACAGCAGGCGGGATGTCCTGTTCCAGAATACATAAAAGGGTTCCAGAAACTACTCAGGTACAACTTTAAATTTACCAGACCTTCTCTCATTCTCTCTCTCTCTTTGCCTGTACATTCTTGCTTTCATACTCTTACACATTATAGTTCCAACAATACTACTACTTTTAAAACATCTTAAGATAAAAATTTTCCTTTTAAATATTTGTTAATATTGTATATTCTTCCCTTGCTAGTTTTTTCATCCTTGAAATTTTAAGTATTTATAGTTTTTTTAAAGAAATTATTCAATGTGAGTGAAATATAATTAGATTTTGTTTTAGTTCCTAAAAATGGTAAAAGTGGTAAATTGGCCAAAATCAAACTCCGATGTGTATTGGCACAGGATACAAGGTTGACAAAGGACATATTTTAATCACAATCAGTGCCTTCTTAAAAATTGAATTTCTCATACGTTTGTGTTACAAATGCTATTAGGTAATCTAGTACAGAAAGTGGGTACAGTGTGGATAAACCAGTAAGTGGATTAAAAAAATGAATTTTGTTGTCAAGAATCACAACTAGTGTTAGATTTAGTTTTTAAATTAAGATTCACTTAACTCTTTTCTCTCTTTGTAACTTGCAGCAAACAAAAGAAAAAAATGATTAAGAAGCCTTTGCAAAGAGAAAGCATTAGTACAACTCCAAAATACTTCTTAGAAAAAGCTAAGGATAAACGGTAAGTATGGGGTGAGAAAGTTAACTGTTTTACTCCATTATATCGTTATAGTAGGCATTTTTCCCTTAGAACAAGTTTTTTAGAAATAGAATTAATAGGTTTACAGTGTGTTGTAGAATATAATAAAAGTAATATATCTTAGGTTGGCTGTGATTTGGAAGCTTGGATGATTCAATCTTGGAATTTTTCTGTATCTCTCTATTAACAGTCTGCTTTTCTTCCACCTCTGAAAATAGGATTTCAGTTCACTCTGAATTAGAATTGCACTGCCCACCGTCTCCACACAGCTGGCCTCAGAACGTACTGAGGCCAAAAGTTAGGGCACACACTGATGAAGCTTTCCTTGAAGCTCTCTGTTTCTGGGCAGGGTTTCAATATAATCTTAGACTTATGTGGAAAAATCTCTAAAAAATATGTCTTGGTTAAATTTGTAGTAGTTTTGTTGAAGTGAATGAGGGTTTTAAGTCACAGATTTTTTTAGCATACATACAGGACTCCTTTTTTTTTGCTCAGTATTGCTAGGAAGCTACATGTTTTGATAGGAGTAGGCTAATATATTCTGAACAGCAGTACTGTTTTTACTATTTATGGAAACTGACACTCTTCAAATTCTACTAGTACCACTTAATGTATAATATATATGAAATGTAGGCATTTACTGAGTGTCCGTTGTTCTGCCAGGTACTTGATGGTGGTAGGTTATACAAATGACGATAAAATGAGACCTGTTTCTTGAAGTTAATATGCAAAAGAAAAAGAGAGAATAATTTATTAAATAAAATAGAAGTCTAGAGACGGGAAAAATCATTATGGATTAGTATAGTCACAAAGTTTCGAGGAAGGAGAACAATCTTTAAGGATAGGTAAAATTTAGGCATGTAGAAGGAACAAGGTAAACAAAGACATGATAACTGGAATGCACTTCCCTTCTAAGTGGGCAAGAGTCTTACCTGACATTTTGTATTAACTATGGGAAATAATGTTCAGTTCAAGTATACAGAGAGTACACAGTGTCCCAAAGTTTCAGTTCAATTTTAAGCTCTAATAACCTGGGAAGAGTAAATGCTACAAATTTATAAAAATGTAATTTGAAAGAGTAATCCTTTTAATTTTGTTTGTACTTAGTTTTGTGAGTTCTTAATAGGTTTTTTCCTTAAATCCTCACCTGAGGATATGTTTTTTGATTTTTAGAGAGAGAGGAAGGGAGAATGAGAGAGAGAGATATCGATGTGAGAAACATCGATTGGTTGCCTTCCATATGCGCCCCAACCAAGGGTCGAACTCACAACCTAGGTATGTGCCCTGACCAGGGATCAAACCCACAATCTTTTGATGTGTGGGTGACACACCAACCACCTGAGCCATCTAGTAAATAGGTTTTTAAATTTTTTGTGGCAGCAGTTTCTGGGTGACACTTTAGACTGGTGGATTGGTAGAGAAAGTCACTGCGCTTGGCTAACCTAATGTGTCAAATTTTTTTTCTTTTTGGTGAGCTGTATCAGAACTGTTGTACATGCATTAGAACCTTGTTCTTTGGGTGATCTTACAGCTAGGATTGCAAATGCAATCATACACTTTCAATGTTATTTTTTGTCTTTTTGTAGCATTTATACTTAATGAGGTTATTAAAACTTAAAGCTGTGGCTAGTGAACACATACAATACAGTGTACAGATGATGTGCTGTGGAATTTGGGCACCTGAAACCTGTATAGTTTTGTTAACCAGTGTCACCCCAATAAATTCAATAAAAAGGAAACAACCTTAAAGCTGCACTAAAACTTTGAGGACACTTGGTGTAAATTTTGTCACTTTAGACCCTTAAGACACTCCCTTCATTTTCTTCATATTTAAAGGCCATACTTCTCAACACAGCCTACAAACAAGAACTGATCTGACCCTAGCTTAGTTTTCCAAGATGGATATTCCTTTAAGGATGCTGTCCACCCCTGTAGCCTCAGTTTATACCTCTATGTTGATAACTCTTATGTCCATATGTTCAGGCCCAGGTTCTCAACCTGAAAGGAAATAATACCCACTCTGCCACTCAGGGTTGGCTGAGGATTAAATGAGTTAATATACACTTGAGAACTTTGCATTGCTGTACTGTGGTAGGCAAACATTGATTATTTTCTCAAAACTTGTTTCTTTTTCCTGTGTTAAGATTTAGTTGATGGCACCCACCTAAAATCAGACTGTTGGGATTCATGTCTAACATTCGTTACCAATGTGTGATGATCAGCAAGTTGTCCGGCCACTCTGCTTCATTTTCCTCATCTGTAAAATGAGGATAACAGTAGAACCTTCTTCATAGGTTAGGAAGATTACCCAAGGTGATAACATAAAAGGCACTCATAACAGTATTAACACTTAATCAGTATTAACTCTTACTTTTAGGTCAGGATCAGAATCTGTCTTGTATACCATGGTGTAATGTGCAGTTTATTGTGACCTTTCTGTCTCACTTAGATGATTGTGGGTTTCTAAAGGGCAGAGACCTAAATGCATCTTCGTGCTCCTCTTGCCTCATATATTTGATTATACAGTAGGTTTCAGTCAATGTTGATTAAACTAGTAGATTTTTGGAAAGTACATACAACAGAATTTCTGATTCAGCTTTCCTTACTCTCCTTGTCATAGGAAAAAGGTCACTGGTGAGAACAGCAAGAAGAAAGTAGCCCCTGAAGACAAAAGTTAAAATTTTTTTTTAAAACTGTATCAAAAATGTAATTTTATAATCTAAACATGAATGTTGTTTTCATGGAATACTTCATCTTAAAATCACCTGTGCCAGAAGTTGAAATCAACTACGAGAACATGGGACTAGTGAAAAATGATCATAAACTTTCAGTGCATGATGTGAAATTTCAATTTATAAGTGACTTTTAAGTGGTTACACAATGAAAATAACATTCATCAACATTTCTGTGTTTTGAATCCAGAGAGATGCTTCTTATAGAAGAACAAAAACTTACACTAAAAATGACAGCACCCAAATGTGGTGAACTGTTAAGGATTTTTCCCTTCAGGTGTGAAGGAAGTGTGAAAATACCTTATGGAGAGATATCTGGAACTAAATTTTCAAAATAAAGACTTGAGATTGAATGTCCCTCCCCTGACCTTGTGTTTTGTTTTGTTTTGTTTTTGTCGTTTGAGTGGACAAGAAGCAGAAGCTGTCTACCAAGAAGAAACCTCCTGTTCTTTACTTTACTATTTAATTTCTTGATGGCCTTTTGTGGTGTAAGCCACAACAAAGAGATGCCTCTTCTGTGGCTGGTTATTCAAGTTCTCTCGTGTTTTAGGTTTTATTTTTTCTTTTAGATAGAAAGGGAGGTAGAAAAGAGAGGGAAAGAAACTTCAACGTGCATGAGGAACACTGATCTCTCTCACACCCCTGGTCCTCAACCTAGGCATGTGCTCTGACCAGGAATTAAATTGGTGACTCTTCGTCTGCAGGACGACATTCAACCCACTGAGCCACACCATTTAGGGCAGGTTCTCTATGATTTTAAATTCTTTGGTCTGTTAAATATCCTTATATCTCGTTGGTAAGGTAGCTCATACTTTACCTGTTATAATGTTGCAATTACAAGCTTATGGTCAGCCTCTCTCTTTTCATTTTTCATCATTTAACCATGCTCTTTCCTGTCCTTCCATTCAAGATGGTTTTGCTTGAAAACTGATAAATGTTTTATCCTGATAAGGAAGAATGTTCCTGTTACTTGATACACCTCTGGCTGCATTCTCTTACAGCTTATTTTTCCTGAGGCGTTATGGCCTTTCATCCACTTTGTAAGCAGGTCTCAGTCAAAGGTAAAGGATTATGATTATACAGTGATAAAGACTATTTAGGACTAGCAGATTCTTCTCCATTGATAGAGTTGTACAGTAGAGTAAAAAATCATCTTTAGTCCTCTCTGGGTTCCAATTTAGTTTGAAGTGACATGGCTAAACACACATAGGGTCAGAATTGCCAGTAAACATGGGACCCATAATGGCACCTCCCTCAGGAAAATGGTGAAGTAAATCAAAATCAGCCAGCATGCCAAGTACCCTTGCTCCTCCTGTGGCGAAACCAACATGAAGAGGTGAGCCGTGGGGAGCTGGCACTGGTTCCTGCATGAAAACAGTAGCTTGGACCTACAACAGCACTTCTGCCATCGCAGTCAAGTCTGCCATCAGAAGACTGAACGAACTGAAAGACCAGTAGAAGCTCTGCAATTTGAAACATCGCTAGCCTTTAATAAATGAGTTAATTTATGTAATAAAATAAGTAATCCTTTAGTAAATGGTTAATTTATGTAACAAAAAAAATCAGATGTGTAACATATTTAGAATGACACCCGACATTCATGTTAAAGTTTACTATTCTCAACACTGCTACAATACTATAAGAACATTTTTTTAGCAGCATTTGAATTAAACATTTCCTTTATTCATAGCTTATTACTCTAGAGAGTCAGGACAAGATCCCAACTAGGATATTTTAGATAAGACAAAAATTGTTCATCTTTAAAATTTATGTAAATGGAGTTTCATTACGACAAGGTGCCAAAAATACAAGCATGTGATTTTTTTTTTTGTTCTAACTATATATGTACAAATAGAATGTATAGATCCTTGGCTCTATAGGCTCTATATATTCTGAAGGTAAATGTGTTGCTGCCACCCAGTTGCCAGCTGTATGACTTTAAAAAAGTAATTTATCAGAGCTTTGGTTTTTTCATTTGTGAAATTGGGGGAAGTACTATCTCAAGGTTATACGTACCTAGCGCTGTGCCAAATATGTTGTAAATTCACAACAAACATTTCGTTTGGAATACAAGGCTTGATAACAGTCCTTGCCCTTCCAGTATATGGGTTTAGGGATAAAGAAATAATGTGGCAATGGCTATGTTAGACGTAGGCCACGAGGCTCAAGTATCACAGGAGAGCATCTAACCCACACTGGAAATGTCATGGAAAGCTGACATCCTGAGCTGAGTCTTGCCGATTGATAACAAAGTATTCCAGGCAGATATCGCATATTCTGTGATCCTTGATATACTCCTTTCATTTGGCTTGACTTCCTCTTCTTCATTACTTTCTCCTGGATAACCACCCATCCTTAAATAAAAGTGGTTACATAAACCTAAAATCACCTTAGTTTGTCAATGGATTAATACTGAATTTAACACCTTTATATCGGCTGGAAGTAATCTGCTACACAAATCAGTTTCACCTAAAGAAGGGGAGGAAGGAAATTAGTAGATGATTATGAAGAAAGAATGTTACGTTCCCCGCTGTTCGAATTACTCCGGGACACAGGACTTCTCGCAAGCGCTTTATTAGTTGGCCAAATGAACCTGCACAGGGGCAGACCCTCCTCCTACGAAGGGCCGCGCCGCTGCTAAGGCACTAGGGTTTTTATACATAAGCGGAGCAAGCAAGCAGGATACAAGGGCGAGAAGTGGCAGTTAGCGATAGGCTACTTTAGGCAGCTTCTTTTCTGCTGATTGGGTTCAAGGCTGTTACTGGGCCCCCCTTTTCTGTCTTTCTCTGGTCAGGATGTTTATCTGAGGCAAGGCTCAACCGTTGCCCCATGCCGCCGCCTCATTCTTGTCGACTCTGGCCCAGCTGCATGGGGCCACACCCTGATATGTTTTTCTTGGTATTAGTTCCTCCCTTATCCTCAGCCTTGACCCTGCTCTCACGGCTCCCTCAAAGAATGCGTGATAATTGAAGTGGCTCTAGTGAAATGAGCAAGGACTTTTAAGTCAAATAACAGGTTTTCAATGGTGGTCCTGCTGCTTTGCAGCTGTATGACCTAAGCAAATGACAGCTTCTTTTAACCTTGGTGTTTTCATCTGTAAAATGCCAATACTAACTCTCAGGGGTACTAAGGATTTGGACAAATACACTAAAAGTTCCTGATTAGTGGTTTGTGCCCAATAAATGATAACATTACAAACTATGTCCCTGTAAAAACCCTGAGGCAAGAGTGACAGATAAAGCTAATAGTAATTAATAGTAAATACTTGCTAGTAAGCAAACTCTATTTGAGGACTTGGAAAAGTTTACACTCGACTTTTATATTTTACTACACTCGACTTTTATATTTTACTGAACAGTAGTTTCATTAGGAGAAAACAATAAAAATATGCTCATATAGATTCATAGTATTATAGTTATAAACTTTTCCAAACACAACCGTTTTGGCCCTGCTGGCAAGTTACAGGTATACCTGGTTTTATTGTGCTTCGCTTTATTGCTCTTCACAGTTGTTGCGGGGTGGGTTGGTTTATTTGTTTTTCCTCCAAACTGAAGGCCACACCCTGCACTAGAAGAAAAGATTAGGACTCTTTTTTTGGCACCCTCTTTATTGCGGTAGCCTGGAACCAAACTGCAGTATCTCCGAGGCATAACTGTGGAAAAAACGGATTACTGGGTGGCACGATGGCAGAACCAAACACAGGAGGTTTTATATGTGGATAGGGTTTATTGTTTTTACTAAAATACAATTTAAATACCTTCAGCTTTTGGGGTGGATACCAAAAGAAAGCCGCCGAGGTCCAGAGGGAAAGTGGAGGGCGCTGATCATTAATCGGCTCTGTGAAGGTATCCAAGGGGCATTAAGGGATCCATCTATTCTTTATGTGCAAAGACGATTAACAATAAAAGAATACCTGTCCCACCATCCAGTTTAAAAAAACAGGACTCAATCTGCTCTTTCCACAAAGATTATCGCTTTTCAAACGAGGACCAACGACGCCTCGCAGCTCGACCGCCAGCTGGGTTCTCCACAGAGCCTTGCTAGAGAATGAATCAGCTTCCCAAGAGCCGAGCGGAAGACCGCTCCAACCATCCCTAGACCTAGTATTGCACCTGTAGGACCCCAAAGCGGCGGCCTTGTCACGTGACGAGGGAGCACCGCCCCTCCCCGGGGCTCGGGGTCACGTGGGCTCACGGCCCCGCCCCGTCACCCAGTCTGCGGCGAGGTGGGGTCTGTCGTTTGCCCCGGAAGTAGCTGTCTTCAGCTGACAGCTGTTGGTAAGGTGGCGGCGGCGGCAGGCCCGGAGCAAGATGGCGCTGCGGCCGGGGACGGGAGCTGGCGGCGGCGGCGGCGGTGGCGGCGGGGCCGCGGGAGCCGGCGCCGGGGCAACTGGGGGAGGCAGGTGGGTGTGAAGAGCTAGGACAGGGCCGGCCCCGCAGCCGTCAGCGAGGAGTGCTTGACGGTTACGGCGGTTTTCGCCCGCTCCGACCCCTTTTGCCTTGGAATTGGGGTACGGGAGAAGGGGCGTCTGGGCACCTAGGCCAAAGAGGGAGGTGGAGCCCGGGCCTCCGCCTCTTATTTTCCAGGCTCTGGAGCACTGGCTGCTGGGGCCGAGAGGGGAGCGAGCGGGCGCCCCAGGGCGGCGAGAAGAGGAGGAGGAGGTGAGGGTCCGCTCGGCCGTGGTGGCACCGGCCTGGGCTGAGTACAGGAGGAACCCCAACGCCTCGCTTCTCGCCCTGGCTGGCTCTGTAGCGACGAGAGACTTCCTCTCCAGGGGTTTGACCGTGACATTGTAGGGAAGGCTCTGAAAAATCTGGTCACAAAGACGAAAAATTGTTTTTAAGGTGTGTGTGACTATTCTTTTCCCTTTTAGATTGTTCTTTTTCATTTCCTTAACATACCAGAAACCGCAGGAAAATCTGAAGACCTTTCAATGAGTAAACAGAGCTCTTGTAGATGTAACTCTTTAAAGCTTGTTTCCTTATTTAAAACACACACACGCACGCACGCTCCCCCCGCCCCGCCCCCCAGTTTTGTGGTTATTAGAACAAAGCTTCCAGACTAAAAATTAGCCCTTAGCCAAATCTGCCCTTGGTCTCTTTCAGCTAATAATTGCTTGTGGTTCTCATACCCAGAACGATGAGGAAAATGAACATTTGCAACTTGACAAGGTCATCATTTAAGGAAAAATTTTACTCTGCAAAGTTTTACACCACTTCTATAATGACCTAGTCTGATTCTGTTTTGTTAGCCAACACGTACAGCATACACATTTGGCAATTAAATTAGCGTTTCATCTAAAGCTTTCTAAATTGTCTTTGGGAAACAAAGTGTTAATTTTTTGATATGCAATGATTTAATT